TGCCCTTCTAGAAGCGGGCTACGATCTGTGGCTGCCCAATGCGGTCAGTTTTTTGTTATGATTGTGATTTTTTATCTGTTCTAAATTGTTCTTCTCTACTTTTTATTCCAGCGCGGTAACGGCATCAGCGACGAGCACCTCAACATGAGCACCTGGAACACCAAGTTCTGGGAGTTCAGCTACGAGCACATTGGCCTGCACGACATTCCCGCCGTGCTCGATTTTGTCCTCACGGAGACGCGGCAAAANTTGGCCCTCAAGCCTGAGTACGCCGATAAGGTCCATCCGTTCATCGGCCTGGCGGCCACCAGTTACATGGGCAATGCCAACTCGGTCTACTTTATCGCCCATCAGCCCATTCGCTTCCTCTTGGAAGCACTGCCGATGCCCTACCTCGGTTAGTAAAAGCATAAAATCACCAAACTATATTTACAAAAAATCTACTTTTGTCCCCGCTAGGCTCTGAGCCGATCCTCAACTGGATCACCCAGCTCTTCTGCCGCCCCGAGTACAACCTCTTTGGAATACCTCCGGACGGAACGACGGGCATCTGCAAGGTCGTCTACGACCTGATGTTCGGCCCCAATCACAATCTCAATCAGACGCACGTGCCCGTCTTTATGCACTTCCTGCCGAAGCGGTGCTCCAACTGGCAGATGGCCCACAATCTGCAGGCCATCTCCAGCGGGCGGTGGCAGCAGTTTGACTACGACAGTGGTCACATCATCAAAACCCGCAACAAAGAGGTGTACGGCAGCGACGAGGCGCCCGACTATCCCTGGAAGAACATCAAAAAGAGCCTCAAGGCGGTGATGATGTACGGCAACCTCGATGCGCTGAATCAGCCCAAAGATGCAAAGAAGCTAGTTGATCAGCTAAAAGGGAATGGCGTCGATATAAGCGGCGTCCAGATTGAGGGCGACTGGAATCACTGGGACTTCTTCGGCGGCAAAGGGGCGGGCAAGAAGGTCTACGATAAGGTGATNGAGGATGCGGAGAAGCTAGTTGATCAGCTAAAAGGGAATGGCGTCGATATAAGCGGCGTTCAGATTGAGGGCGACTGGAATCACTGGGACTTCTTCGGCGGCAAAGGGGCGGGCAAGAAGGTCTACGATAAGGTGATTGACATTCTGGATGAAAACATAGAAAAATGAAAAGTCGCCTGGATTCTTATTTTTTGTTAGTGAGCTAGCTAGATTGTATTTACTTTTGTGGATTCTATATATTCTATACCTTTTTCTCCTTGTAATAAAGTTCTCATTTGACAACCGTATCTACTGCGAACAAATCACGGCGTTTGTGTATAGGCAAAGAGAAAACAGCTGATTTTTTTCTGTTTTTTTCTTTTCTGTTCTTTTTGTGGCCCGTGTTATCTTCACGTTTTCTTTGTGTGCAGTTTCATCGTCAAGAAAAGATGCTCTTCTCAAAAGAAAGAAAAACCTCTTCACGTCATTTCACCTTCACCATCAACGTCATCATCATCATCCTCATCCTCACCAGACAAGATAATCAAAAGGTAGGCAGCTGGGCGAAATTTCCTTCAATTTGATGCTACATTTCCCTTCAGAAATCTCTTTTTGACGTGCCTGCTTGCTTTTGCTTTTTACAATATTTTTTTTTTGATTGTGTACATCACTGTACAATCTTTTCACTTTTTAAAATGTAGTGCAAGCAAACAAAACAGCATTGAGGGCCAACCAAAAATCAGGTCTCTTTTTTGTTCAGAGCTTGCTGATGACGTGCTGATGACATCGCCTCGATGATGATGAATCATCGGCCTCCATCCCAATCTGCTTTCGCTGAGAAGTGAACTAGAACTTTGTGCATGCACTAGGCCCACATAGAAAGTAGAGAGTAGAGAATAGAGAATCAATATATCAGTTCATTTCCATCCAACCATCCGTGCTCTCTTTTCCGTGGTAGTGGTGGTCTGAAGATGATCACTGGTGCGTGAATTTGGCCGGAAATCTGGAGCAAGGAGAGAGAGAAGTGCTCGCCAGACTGCACAACAGCAGAACAAAAACAACAGCAAAATTAGAATCAGAATCGACGGTGTGTTCTGTTGTGAGGACTACTACCACCACCGATCCTTTTGCCCCTCTTTTCCTTCTTCTTCTTCTCCTTGTATCCAGTTTGTACCTACCTCGGTCTCGACTAGACAGGACAGGACCAGACTGATCATCATCGTCATCCTCATCGCTAATTTGAAAAGATGTGCACCCGATTCAATCTCAATCTTTTGTGATTGTGCTGCACTGTACTGTGCTGAATCAGTGCACAATTGTTGTTGTTTGTTGCCCTTGTTCTCCTTCTTCTTCTTCTGCGAAGCCAATTGCTATTTGCATGTCAATGCAGTCAGCCAACCAGCGGACACTCACACAAAGCCGATTGAGTCTTTTTGTCTGCCCTGTCCTGTCCTGTCCTCGAACTTTTCTTCAACTGCACACTTGAGTGTTTGTATTATATACCATCATCACTAGTTTGCTGGCAGCTTCGTCCTAATTCTGTTTTCCCTTTCTCTTTCCACTTTTTGCTCCCTCTCGGGTTGTCCCAATTGAAAGAGTATCGAGAAGATTCTCTCTCTCTCTCTCTCTCTCTCTCTCTCTCTCTCTCTCTCTCTT